TGGCATCCTCCCCTGGCCCCAACACCTACATCTCAATCTGTAAGCTTACCTGTATCTTTACCTTCACAGCACTCTTACCTATATTTTCACCTTTTTCCCCCTACATCCTCTCCGGCGAGTGTATTTTCTCTGTATCTTCATCTGGGTCCTCACCTGCATGCTTTTCTAGATATTTTCTTGTGTTCTTGCCAGCATTCTCACCTGCAGATTTACCTGTCTTCTTACTGTCATTGCCCAGTGGGTTCACCTTGCCCCCTGCCTAGACAGAACCGATTTATCAGACGGGGGTTGCCATGGAGAAAGAGTAATTCACACAGAGCCAGCTGTGTAGGAGACCGGAGTTTTGTTATTACTCAAATCAGTCTCCCCGAATATTTGGGGATCAGAGTTTTTACAGATAGTTTGGTGGGCCAGATGCAGTGGCTTACGCCTGTAATCCCCACACTTTGGGAGGCTGAGGCAGGTGGATCACCTGAGGTCAGCAGTTCGAGACCAGCCTGGCCAACATGATGAAACCCCGTCTCTACTGAAAATACAAAAATTAGCCAGGCGTGGTGGTGGACACCTGTAATCCCAGCTACTTGAGAGGCTGAGGCAGAAGAATCGCTTGAACCCGGGAGGTGGAGGTTGCAGTGAGCTGAGATCGCGCCACTGCACTCACTCCAGCCTGGGTGACAGAGCGAGACTTCATCTCAAAATAATAATAATAATAGTTTGGCAGGTAGGGGTTTGGGAAGTGAGGCGTGTTGATTGGTGAGATGGAGGTTGGAATCATAGGGGGTCGGGGTGAGGTTTTTTGTTTTCCGTTCCTGGGTGGGATCACAGAACTGCAGGGGTCACATTCCTGGTCTGGGTGCTGTCGGCTGATCCATTGAGTTCAGGGTCTGCAAAATATCGCCAGCACTGAACTTAGGTTTTACAATAGTGATGTTATCCCCGGGAGCAATGTGGGGAGGTTCAGACTCTTGGAGCCGGAGGCTACATGACCCCTAAACTGTTAATTTCTAATCTTTTTTTTTTTTTTTGAGACGGAGTCTCGCTGTGTCACCCAGGCTGGAGTGCAGTGGTGCGATCTCGGCTCACTGCAAGCTCTGCCTCCC